CGCCCAAACCATTGTGATATTCTGGATCAGCATGGTCGATTACCTATAAATCACTAGGATTCGATCAAAAAGCGATTGAACAGTTGGTGACCTTCCCTCATCAGTAGGGGTTGCTCTCGAATGAGGTGGCCTTGATACTTTTCCATTTCAATATTTAGAACCATTTAAAGCAAAGAGGCTAGCTGGTCGAATAATTCATATCTAATATTAAAATTCAATGTGAGTGAATTCATTCTTGTAATACAGGAAATATTAAAAAGTAAAATTTTATCATCACATATGTACAATGTGATAGCTATCGAAGACGAAAAGAAACCTCCATTTTTCGTTAATCCTATAAATACTTGGGGCTAAAATTGCTTACCACTACACCATGATATATGTTGTGCAATGAATCTGATAAAAAGCTAGTTCCAACATCAAAATAAGTCAGATCACGAAGAACACATGGACTTATGTGACCACGTAATCGATTACGAAGTTCAGCATGTGGCAAAAAATGTTCATCTATGTAAATATTCATAAACATGTCATACGTTTTATTTGTACGTAAACGAGGCTGTTCCTGATCATCAGGAATAAGAGGAAAAACTCGAATTCTTTTCCGGGAATTCGCTTGGATGGGCACTGTTTCACCTAAAATAGAAATTGGAAACATTAACAAAAACAGTATTGTAAATAATACATAAAAGCTTACCTTCCAACTCGCAGCGCCCACAACCAAAAGCTCCTATTGACTCACTAATTCCTTGGACCAAACTCTGTGCTGGTTTGTCGCAGCACGAGGCAATCAAAAATATTTTAAGATGTGTGCTTGAGTTTTCACCGAAGCTTTTCACTTCGAAAGATTCGCCTTGTTCTAAGACAACAAGTTCCTTAACAATAGGCGATAGAAGTACTTGCATTTGATGACGACTGGGTTTCGATTCGGTTGATACAATACCGCCCACTATGATGTTTTTTAACTTGAAACGTTCACTTCTTTTGATTTCATTAATAACAAAAGTGAATATCCAAAGAGATAAACCTGAGTTTTTCGTGACTTCAATACCATCTACGTTCATTATAAGACTTAAAAAGTTGTTTCCTGCCTCTTTCTTCATTATATGTTGATATGCTTCCGCATCGTATATGTCATTTATAACATCAATGTCTGGAAAACATTGTTGTTGTTCAAAGTTTAATGCTGGCGTATGAGCAAGAATTTCTTGTATCTGTTGAAGTATCGAGAATCGCAAATAATGCAGAGGTGGTGTACGAAAACACGCATGTTGTGTACAATTAACGTTGCTGCACCGATCTGATGATGTTGACGCTTCACAACAGACTTGGCAAATATAGGTAACCAACGAAGAAATCGATGCAGAAGATTTTGGTAGTAAGAGCCGTTCAATTTTATAAAAGTTCATTGGACAGTTTGGGATTTTCAAAAGTTTTAATAATTTACACAAATCATTAATGCATTTATTCGATGTTCGATGGTGACTCTATTACAAAAAAAATGATATTTCTAGGGTTAGTCATATTTCAATAAATTAATTAAAGGTACACTTATATAAAAGCTTCAGTAAATCAGATTTCATTATACCGTCTTACAAACCAATCAAAGTACTGGCATTTCTTCGTATTCACAAAGACAAGTCAGAGAAAATTGTTACAGAAAAAATTATTTCAAGTTCTCATCCTAAAACTGCGGACTAATTTGAAAAAGACTATATAAAAGAAGTTTTGAAGTTTAGACTTAAAAATTTGGCTTCACACTTTCCAAAGACCTTGACAAGCAACTTAATAATTTTCTCCTCAATTGTATAAATAATATCTGTATTGTGTTTCACATTTCAATTCTGTAGGAGCTGTGATCATAGCTGTTCTTTGTAAATAGTTATAATTAATATAACTCAACAAATTATAGATCAAATTATATGATTATGGAAATTACACGATTGTTAACTACTTTTATGATTTTGTTACACTATTTTTTGTCTTAGTTTATTCGATTACAAACAACAGATGTTTGGTTTTGTTATGGAATGCATTATAAGTAAAAGGATTGATTTAACTCTGTCATTTATTTTCTTTTGCGTTTTAAAAAGCTGGCTTTCACTCATGTGTCTGAAACAAAAGTTATTTTGAGTTCTACTGAAAACTGAAACTACATATCACGTATTCTTTTTCATCTTTTTTTTTTCAGATTCACATAGACAAAGAGCATTGTAGTTATAACTATCATACAAATCATACCAATTCTGTTCTAAAGATAGCTTTACCTTTAATAAGACAAGCCCTGCGGCAATTTCTTTCTCTACAGGTGCTCTATATATATAAGCAACATTCTAATATTATAAATAAGAAAATATGTGAATAAGACTCACTGATCAATATTTTCAGTTAAAAATTCATCTTCCGCAACAGGATATTGAAATATTGGTTCAATTTCTACATCTTTCCAAAGGTTGACATTTTTAAAGCGTTCTTCAAGCCACATTTGATCGTCGTACATATCTGATACATCTTCTGATCCATCTTTTGCTATTGGCGCATCAAAATGATAACTGGAAGTAAATAAACCCGATTGACAGCCGAAATGGTCCTGAGGATGTGCTTGGCGTGATATTTCTTCAGTATTATCATTTGAAGTGTGTGAAAATGTTGAATCAAGTAAGCTAAATTATGCAGACTATACTTAATGTGTGAATTAGTAAAATTAAAAAATACTTTTCATCGAACCGTGAAGCATTGGTAACTAATACTCTACTCAAAAACTCTTTAAATCGCTTTTTGCGACGCCACAAGGTAGCCCTAGAGAACATCTAAAATTATACACCACCTGAAGATGTATTGCTAATGCTAATCTAAATGTAATGCTTTATTATCTATATATGTAAATCATCACATGATACAAACACAGTAAAAGAACACTAAAAAGTTCGATTGTCATTCATTGACTTCTGGATCTTCTTCAGAATCATAATTTTCTTCATTTGGTTTTGAATGTTGATTTTTATTCATCATTTGTTTTAAACTTCTCTGCCCCTTGTCTCGACAATTGATTTGCTTGTCGATGCTTTTGTTATCTCCTGATGTCATTAATTCATTGTGTTGCTGCATTTTTGTTTTGAGTTCGCATTTTTTAGATCGGAAGACACCATTAATAGCTTCATTAAATTTATGATTTGATATTGGACCTTTTTGAGATTCAGCAAATTCTAAACAAAACCAATCTAAAGTTAATCTATTGTTATCAAAGAAAAAATTTACATACCTCGAATTATTAATCGTCGATCTTCTGGTACTTCCGGTCCCGTCATAGTCAACAATTTGTCCGATGAATATAAACATCGAACCACTTGTCGAGCAGTGTTGGATGTTGTATCTTCAATGCAAGCAACAAGATCTCGTGGATCTTTTATGCCCAAAGCTTTGGCATAATTCGCAATGTTTGTACCAGGTGCCTTGTTCGAAAAGTACTTTTCCATATTGATAAACCATTGGAGCCCCGCAGCATCGGGTATAGCTAAAAAGTTTTCAAAGTTTTAACACGAACTTTTATAAGAAAATCATTTATATGTTACTGAAATGTCAAAGCATTCCCCTTAGAATTTGTTGAAAATTGATTATCTCATCTATTATCTTGTTTTTCCTAGCTGGACCATATATTTTGTGAAGAACACTTGTTCAGTAATCGATATAACATCATAGCTCATCAAAAGAGTCTCCAATAAAATCATTATTTGCTTACTATCTTTCAAAGACTCACTCATTATTATTTTCCCCCTCCCAACATAGATGGCACATGTATGCTCAATTTCTAATCATTATTGATTATATATCACATTAAAATCTTCGAGGATCCAAATAATCAACATTACTCAATGTAAATTATTCTTATCGCTGACTTACTAGACTTTGTCATGAAGATACCTTTTAATAGATAACAAAATAATGTCTTAGCACTTTCGCTCTGCTACGTTGCCTAAGAGCATTATAAATGAAAAACAAGAATCGTATACACTTACGCATTGTTGTTTTTCGCATGTGTTCGTTCTCTTTTGTCAAACGATCACAGTCAAGCTGCAAAGCAGCATTTTCTCGTGATAGCTCATTACATTTTTTGGATAAATAGTCGTATCGGTTCATCAAGTCGCTGTTACCGATATCATTGAATCGTTTCTCTTGCTCTATAAAATCGGAACAAATCATTCACAATTGCAGTGACATGATCAATAATTATATAAACCTAAATTGGAAAAATTTATCAATGTGGTTTCGTTTTCAAGATTTTCCGGATTTTCAGGTCGAGGATTAATGATTATTTGACTTTTGGAAGCCTTTTGTGGTTCAGCTTCATGTTCCTTGATAGATCCTATGAGGAAAATCAAAATTTAGTAAATTTATAATCGTAAAAGATATATTTACTATTCGAGGACGAATCTTTTGTTTTAGACATAGTTGTTGTAGAATTACGAATAGATTTTGTTGATGAAATATTGATATTTAACGAATCATTGGATGTATTACGAAATTCTTCATCTTCATTGCTACTCGATCCATTTACTAATGAATAAAGTCAAACAATAAACTAATTTATTTTAATATTGCTTGGCTTACTATCTTGGTCAATTTGTAAAAATTTTGATTTTACATTATCCTTTTTTTTTACAACGTTTGTTGTTCTCTTCATGGAATTAATTGAATGGCTTGCGATTGAGCCTGTGATGCCATGTTTGGATGTAGCAGCTGATGTTATTTGTTGTTTTTCTAAGCGACAAAAAAATAATGTATTGAAATCTTTCTTATACATCACAGCGTAAATCCCAACATTTTTTTTGAAGATCTGATTCAAAGTGTATATAGGCTATTTCTCTAACAAAACTTACTTCATTCTTGTTTTGAGTATAAAATTAATTAACTAAAAAAGACTTCGCTTTTCTTTTATAATAAACAACATAGAATTTTTGTCGTATAGATTTAAATAAAAATATTTTCGATCCGCTGTTCGCAAACATAAATAGTAGCTATTGAAAAAGAATTTTTTTTATACGGCTCTTTGCTGAATTTCAATAAAGGAAATACTTTTGCATGGATCAGAAAGTTTTCATATTGAAAAATATTGAAAGATATTTTTATCACTGGGACAAGTGCAATCGTTATATTTCGCTGAGCATTTCTGTGAATGATACGGTATTCTAAAACTTAACTGTTACATCAACATAAGGTTTTTCCTACTTACTAGGACGTTCTTTTCTTTTCTCATATTTTTCATTTTCGTTTATATCATCAATGCCATCATCATGTGTATTTTTTTGATCAGCATCAGCTGTAGTTTCAAAAACTTGAAATTGTTCCTGACATACTTCCTTGGTCCCTATATGCAACAAGAATATTGCAAAAATATGAATTGTTGTTGAATATTCACCCAACTGTACAATTTCCCCACGATGTTGCTTCCTACTATTAATATCACTTTTGAACGTTGCTGTATTATTAATTTTAATACGAGTAACAGAACTATTAACCAAATGTGTTACCGGCAATAACATAATTTTTGTATCAGCTTCACGCTGAATAATCATATGTGTTGGTGAGGGCTTTTTTTCGCCACCTCGGCATGATGATGTTACTGAAGTGATACTTTCGATCGACTGTGATCGTTGCATGATCTAAAAATTTCAGCGTATTTCAAATATAAACTTATTCTTATGCATGCAAATAACTTGAAAACAGTTCTGAATGCAAATAAGAAGAATATCATCTATTTATGTGTTCTCGATTGAACCGTTATTTTATCGCACGATTGGCAACAAAAAAAACACGCTAACATTTTAAATAAAAAAAAACATGATAGCGCCAGGTGATTAAACTAAGAAAACATTATCAATCAAACAAACAATGATTGAATATATTCAAATTTCAAAATACGAAAGACGTTGTATATAATATGCTATAAACACTTACAATATGTGTTGAACTCCTTCAACGATAAAAATCATTCCATCATAAAATAACTAAGAAATAATCAACATTATCATTGTGTATCCATTCTTTGTAAGAATATTTTATGCTTTATCCTCTAGGGAAAATTTACATTCATGATTTAAACTACTCAAACTCATTGGTAGTTACATCAGTCTGAAAGCATCAACTAGTTTAATAATCACCCTGTAGAGTATATAACACATATTAGTTTGATGTAATCTTACCAAATAAAAGTTCAAAGTGTAGAATTATATATATATATACTCATACGACGCCAAAACACAAACAAGAAAAACAAATGTTACTCTTCAACGTAAGACGATTACTAAAGTTAGACTTGTATAATTTGACTGATGTTATAAGACGAAAATAAAAAAAAGGAAGATGATTGCCAAAAATATATCGAACAAGCACTGTGCAACTAGAAGAATGGCAAATAATGTTTTGCACCTATAATAATAAGACTTATCACTTCATATGATAATTCCAAATATCATTCCTTTCAATTAGTTTAATATAAATATTGATCAAAAGTCAACACGAGAATAAGTTGGATCATAGTAATAATGATCAATGCATATTATAAACTTAGATATACCAAATCAATAAAAAATAACTCACATTTGACCATCTTGTCTTTTTTTTCATATGAACACAAACCAACTAGATAAAACACTACATTTCGTGTTTTCCTGTATGTGATGCTATATTAAACTATAAGGCCATCATGTAATCTTTTTGATAGACATGATTATAATTATATTTGAGTAGAAAATAACACTCTCATGAACTATTTTTTATTCTTTGGGTATATAGAATGCTATAGTATGAGTTGATAGTTATTATTATGGTCTAACTTATTCTGATATTGATTTTTTTATCAATATTTATATTATATTAATTTATAACGATGACATTTGAAATTATGATATGAAGCTATAACTCGTATTATAATAGAGACATAACATTAGCTTAGATTTTCCATTGTTCTAGTTTCACAATGCTTCTTCGATTTTGTTTTTCTAAATCATCATCTTATTTAGTATTTTTCCTTTTAGTTTTGTAGCATTTCATAAACGTCTTCCACTGAAGACAAAGAATTTTTTTTGCTGCCCGTCTTTTTGACTCGTATGAGTATTTATATACATAAGATTCTACATTTTAAACTTTTATTTTATAAGATTACATCAAACTAACATGCGTTGTATACTTACATGATGTTTTTGATTACTACTATTTGTTGAATAGACAATAAAACATGACTTGTTTTTTATTTATTTCATATAGCTACTCGTATAATACGTATTGATGATTATTATTATGGGCTACACTTCAT